TGATCAAACCAGTTGAGTGCAACGAATGAAGAGCGTCCAAGATGTCTTCTTTCTTATCTGATAAACTATAATCATTATTGTCCTTAGTAGCCGACATTACATCAGAGAGGGTCAGTATATTCTCTTTCCTTTCCTCCAGTAGACCATACATCATGTGACAATAAAGACTCAAATTTCTTCCACTTGTACTACGAATGGACTCACAGGCACTAGACAACTTATTGAAGAATGAACCACTCCCACCAAGCTTACGACAATCTAAGAAGACACTATCACACTTTTCCCTTACAATAATCTCCTGTATTTCTTCCTTTCTCATTCTCCTTTCAAAAGGATTGAATATCTCATCCACATGACTGACTATTACAATAACATGGCATTGATTAAGAGCTTTCTGTGCTTCATTTCTGACAATTGTTAGCCACTGATGAAGCTGTTTGACTGGTTCCTTCTCCAATATATTGACTACTATCAGGAACACACCACCAGAACCTTGTAAGAGATTCTCAATGACAGCACTGTGACTGGAGTAGTATTCTGAATGACCAGCAAAATCATGAAGAATGATGTTACCCAGTGTCTTGTGTTTTAGTTTATAAGGAATGATACCAGCAGTACAGGGCACTACCCCTCCAACATTTCTAAAGGAACCAAGAACAATAGAACCAGTAGCTGTGTCATTGATGACATGACTAAGAGTACTTTTACCAGCTCCAGGATTACCCACAAGGAGGACATTGACATAAGAATCAATTGGATGAGATGATTTTATATCACCAAACTTCTTAAAAATAGGAAAAATATTGATATTCCAGCCTTCCTGCTTTGCCTTTTTAGCTATTTGTAATGGTGTCCACCCATGTATGTCTTTAGCCAATGGATCACATTTACCAGTTGATAGTAAACATTCAATAGCTTCAGAACATTGCTGATAAACAGCCCAGTGAAGTGGTGTCTGCCCCTCCTTGTCAACAGTCATTGGATCACAGTTGCACTCATTGATTAGGTATTTGATTACATCATTTGTTTTGTACTTAGTGGCTGCGTGTTGAAGAACAGTCTGACCCCCATTGTTAGTAGCCGTTGGATCACAGTGATGTTGATTGATCAAGTACTTTATGGCATCAAGTGATCTGTTCGTGTTTACATAGTGAAGAACAGTATTTCCATTCTTATCAGTATCCATTGGATCACAGTGACACTCATCAATGAGACATCTCATCACATCAACATGATTACCTTCTGCAGCCCAATGAAGACAAGCCTGACCTTCACTATCTCTTTCCTGTGGGTCACAGTGATATTTAGTGATGAGATCTTTTGTAACATCTAACCAGCCATTCCTTGAAGATAAATGAAGTAAACTTATATTGCTGCAAAAAAAATAATCTCCTTTAATTTTATTTGGTTCCTTCACTAATGGTAATAAGTGAACAGCTTCTTTATGATCTCTATCCTCAAATGCAACCCAACACTTGTACTCTAACGACATCTTGTGATCAGTTAATTAGATTTATTGTTACCATATTAGGAATGGGAATTCATTATTCATACACTATACACCCACACCCCATGATTATCATGAACTAAGGTGATGGGAAGAGGAAATAGAAAGGATATAATTCACACCTACAGCCTCAGCAATCTGCGTAATATTTATAGAATTAAAATTAATTAATAATAATGGTTTAAAATAACATATTAAAAGAGATCTTGTAGTCATGTTTTTTTCTCCAAAATCTTCATTATTTTAATATCATAGTTTTTGCCCAGTTCTTCCGACAATCATCACATAACTTGTTATAAGATCATTCAGTTTCCCTTCCCTCCTGTCTCTAATAAATGAGTACTTTATGTGTATTCTTACTCTTTAAATCACTAGCTATAAGTACCTCCCTCAGCTCCTCCTCTTCCTTTCCTCCTCCTCCCCTCCTCTGATAACCTACACTACTGTACAGTCTCAAGCTTCTTCCAACAGATCTCTAGTGGTACATGTAACAATGAGTAATGGGACAAAGGAGGTAACACCTGTTTAAAGTGTTAGTGTTACCATAATCACTTGAAATTAATAAATTAAATAAATTGCTGATTAAGAAACTCATGGGGTGGTTTGACCTTTTGATGCATGCTTTAAGAGTATAACTGAATTCAACTTCAGTGTCAATGTAATGTTAGGACTAGTACCATATTGTAAATCCATCTTTACACAGAATAGATAAGGTCAAACCATATTCACAATTAATAAATGGCACAACCAATAACTGTACAACAACCCACTAATGTGCAATCTAAACAGATTTTATTTTGTCCATTACACAAGTACTAATTTTAGCATTTAATTAACGTATTGTTCAATAATGCTATTAATTTATTTATGTGTCACTTTGAAAAGTGATCATGGCAGACATTATTAAATATGTTGATGCCTGAATAGAATTTGGTTTTATTCTAGTGTAAATAGTTAAGCATGACTCAAAAGGTCAAATTGCTCACACTTTGGATTAAAAATGAATGGTACACTGGCTTAGCATCATAACTATTGTAAACTATATTGGCTTAATAAAAAATTAGAAAATTTAATGGTAGACTTTCTGAAGCATTATAATAAATCATCAGTCGTTACAAGCGGAAGCACTGTATAACACAATGGTATAAAACAAGCAAGAATAGAATTTTGTGTTTATTGTTATATTGTACGGCACTTTCACAATGCAAATATTGTGAACAAGGCTTTATATTATAGTGCTGCTGTATGTGAAGAGTATAATTGGGTATATAAGGCCCTTACTAGTAAAGTAGTTCTGTTTATTTGTTTGTACGTGTACATCATCAGAGTGCAGAGACTTTAACAGTTATATTCTCCTAGTAACAATTATAACACTGCACTATCAGGCAAGACAAGCATACATGTATAGTACTAATAATCTCCTGATCTATATCCACTAGTCTAGTCTATGGGACAGTAATTCATAGTTCATAGTAACTATGTGTATATTAATAGTAAGCATAGTTTGGAACTAACAGTAACTATTCAACTACCAATGTTGCTAATAAGAAACATAGTTTGAAACTATCAGTGGTAATTCTAATTATAGAGACAGCGAAAGCATCAGCAAAAATAATAATAAACAGAACAAAGGGGAATACTATGGACAATCATCTAATGTTAGTAGCAATTAATGCATCTTTTCTTCTATTGTATCCATTTTTGTAGGTGCTTTATTGTAGTGTCTGTGTTGAATTTTTTATCACTTCCTATACAATAATAATAATAATAATAATACTTGTATAGTGCTTGACTATTATTAATGTGTCAAACAGTTTGTGTGTTAATTCTTACCTTAATGTCACGTCCTCCTAATAGTGACAGGTTACTAATATCTGATAATGATTCATCAGGTAGGACCTCCTTTAATTCTGTTTTTGTTTCATTATCATGTACTAAGTACCTTTCTCCCTTGTCAATAGCAGACAGTATATCTTTTACACTATATACTGTCCTTTCTCTTGGTGTATTCACAGGATAGGCTAGTTCTTTAGGATCAATAACTAACTCTTTTACCTCTAGACTGGGACAGGATTCTTTATAAACACTCATTACCTCTCCTATCACATCTCTTCTTAGAGACATCATATTGTCACTGTAACCTTTCTCACAGGACATCATTACTAGTACACACTGGCTCTCATCCACAATCTCTACCAGTGATCCTACACCATGATCGTTAAACCAATAAAGTCCATTCTTCCAAAATGTACAACGTCGCATTAACTGGTTGTCTTTTTGAGGTAGAGCCATTTTGTAAGCAAGACGTAATGAGAGGACATGGAAGTATCGAGGAGGAAAGAAATGATGTTTACTAGTACACTGTAGACACCAACCAAACTTGTACACTTGACTAGTCATCTCATCAGGTCTATCACTAGACAAAAGACATGGAAAGAACAACAACCTTTCTCCTCTTCTTTCCGTCCCTCCCTCCTCCTCCTCTTCCACTGCTAACTGATGGAGGTTTGTGATTGTTAGAAAAGATGGATTGATTTGTTGACAGAGTTCCATGTTCTTGAGGAAACAGATCAACATGTCAGGATCATATTTAGGGAAGAGTCTAGTCAGACCAGACACACTAACAATACCAGTATTGCTAGCAATGTCAACATGTTCTTTGAATGTATCTGGAGCAAAGAGAATCCCATCCACCTCAGTTAGCAGTATACCCTTATTCACAACAACCCATATCTTGTCTTCACTTTTAAGAACACTGATCAAACCAGTTGAGTGCAACGAATGAAGAGCGTCCAAGATGTCTTCTTTCTTATCTGATAAACTATAATCATTATTGTCCTTAGTAGCCGACATTACATCAGAGAGGGTCAGTATATTCTCTTTCCTTTCCTCCAGTAGACCATACATCATGTGACAATAAAGACTCAAATTTCTTCCACTTGTACTACGAATGGACTCACAGGCACTAGACAACTTATTGAAGAATGAACCACTCCCACCAAGCTTACGACAATCTAAGAAGACACTATCACACTTTTCCCTTACAATAATCTCCTGTATTTCTTCCTTTCTCATTCTCCTTTCAAAAGGATTGAATATCTCATCCAC